GGACTGATCACAAGAACTTAGAAACCCTCAAATCCCCTCGTTCTCTCAATGCTAAGCAATTGCGGTGGGCAGATTTCTTCTCTAGGTTCCAGTTCACTTTACATCATTTTCCGGGGGCTTCTGTCCCATTCGAGGTCTGGACTGATCACAAGAACTTAGAAACCCTCAAATCCCCTCGTTCTCTCAATGCTAAGCAATTGCGGTGGGCAGATTTCTTCTCTAGGTTCCAGTTCACTTTACATCATTTTCCGGGGGCTTCCAACTCGCTGGCTGACGCGCTGTCCCGCCTCCCGCAACATGAGAGCCAACATGAGGTCATCATTGACTCTGTCTTTACTCCTGCCCAGTTGGGTGGAGCTGTGATCACCAGAGCACAAGCAAGGAAACTACCCACCCCTGGTTCCTCTCATGTGTCACCGCCTTCCCCCCCCCTTCCTTGGGGGATTGGGGGGAAATCTCTCCAACTTTTACGATGCCAATTCTGGTGGCCCCACATGGGAGTTTGTTCGAACCTATCAAACTTGCGCTTTATCCAAACCTAGGGGGGGAAAAACCCCTGGACTCCTCCAGCCTCACCCCACACCTAACCGGCCTTGGGAAGTGCTCTCTATGGACTTTATTACTGACTTGCCTCCTAGCAAGGGCAAAACTGTGATCTGGGTGGTTGTTGATTTGTTTTCCAAACAAGCTCATTTTGTTCCCCTCCCCTCTCTCCCCACTGCACAAAAACTGGCTAAATTGTTTTTGCATCACACAGTCCTTCAGTTGAGCTCCAGTCTCTGATGGATCAACCCCTCTTACACAACCAGCTTGTCCTTCAGCATAGACAGCGCCCTCCTACCAGACTCCAGCTCTCCAGGCCCTTGCTGCCTCTTGTGGGATCCCCAGTATCCAGCATTGATGGTCCGTTCCTGCTTTGCTTATCGCTGGCTTGCCTGCCCATAACATGGGACAACTTCTCCCATGAGGCAAATTCAAAGCCCTCCTGGAATGCAGTGGGGCTTGTCCAGCCATATTGGGTCTAGATAGCCATGTGCTCCTGGTTGGCAGTTAACTCTTTGGAATCTCTGCCCTGACTCTTTACTTTTATCCTAGAGCTCCTGCATGTTGACCAGTGCTGGCTTCAGTTGAGATGTGCATTTCACCTAAGCAAAACTGCAGGCCCAAGTCAGTCACTTGGGGCCATCAAGCTGAAGAAGAGGCAGCTGGTCTCCCAACTGCCACACAGTTTTTTACTTTGATCATTTGCAATTTTACGGCCAGTGGGCCATATTAAAACTGGCTGCTGAATCTTATCATTTAGCGATACCTTCAAGAGACTACCACAGAAGGTGAGCTGCAAAAGTTAAAGATATGCTTAAGCACAAACAACAGAACTGAACCCCAAATGCCTAGCAGACATATGCTAGCTAGATGAGAAAGCCTTGTACAAGTTTCCCTGGTTTATTTTTCAACCATGGAAAGTGAAGATCAAGCTACTGCTCAGAGACTAGAGGGTGGAACACAATAATATACTTGATTACAGGTACATACAGACTGGCCATACACTGCTTCCTGGAGTTTGCCACTGGCATCCAGCCCACCATGGACATAAGAAGAATTCCTGCCATAGAACCTGCAAAGACATTGAAGCACAGGGTTTATGAACAGTCATGCATAATATTTTATGCAGTTTAATATACACATTTTATGCACTTGAAAAACAGGTTGCTTACCAGTAACTGGTGATCTTCGAGTGGTCATCTGTGCATTCACACCCATGGGATCTAGTGCGCACGCGCTGGGTCGATCAGTGCTGTAGCAAGCTCTTTAAACGGATTTTCGTGCCCAGTCCCTCGGGCATGCACAGGAACCCCACTGCGCATGCCCAGAGGACATCCTGCCAGTTCCTACAAACCTCCACAAATCAACCCCTATTAAAAATGTAGAAGCTGACAGCAGTGGGGAAGGAGGGCAGGTGGTGTGAACGCACAGATGACCACTCAAAGATGACCAGTTACAGGTAAGCAACCTGTTTATCTTCGATGTGGTCTCTGTGCTTCACACCCATGGGAGATTAGCGAGCAGTAGCCTACCAGGAGGAGAGTGCTGGCAGGTCTTTTACTGCGTAGCCGAAGACAGAATGTGACGTCCCATGTTGGTATTGGTGTTCGTACGGACGTCTAGGGCGTAGTGCCTTATGAAGGTATTAGGCGTGGCCCACGTAGCGGCTTTGCAAATGTGCGTCAGTGGCACTCCCTGGAGGAAGGCAGTGGAAGTCGTGACAGCCCTGGTCGAATGAGCCCTGATAGGGCCAGGCAATGGCTGTTTGGCGATCTGGTAACACAGACAGATGAGACCCAGAATCCACTTTGACAGGCGCTGGGATGTGATGTGAGTGCCCAGTCGTGCCGACGCGTAAGAGACGAACAGTTGTGAATCTCGTCTAGTCGGGTGTGTTCTATTGAGGACGCTCCACTTGTTGGATGGGGGAATCCAGGAGCTGGATGGTCAGTATCGACGGAGGGAGTTGGGCCTCCGATATCGATACTGCTGTTGGAGTGGGAGGCACTTTAGGGGCATCACCCAGTGCAGACACCGCTTCCTTCCCCTTCTTCTCCGCCTTAAGGGACTTGGAGGTACCCTTCTTCGTGGACTTGTGATCTTTACTTGCCTTAGCCTTCTTTTTGACGATTGTACCTTTGATGTCGGGAGCTTCGGTGTCGGGCGGTCGACATCAGAGGCAGGCCTCGATGCCGGAGCTGTCGATGTAGACGGTCTCTCCTCCATCGCTGAGGCAGGAGTAAGGGACGATTCAAGCAGCGCTACTTTAAGGCATGCAGCTCGGTTCTTTCACGTTTGATTGGAGAAACGAGCACAGTGACGACAGGACTCTGGCTGGTGAGACTCTCCAAGGCAAGAAATGCAGAGGGTATGACGGTCGGGAGGAGCAAGTTTGCTGCCGCAACCCTTGCACGTTGAAAAACCCCTACTTCTCCATAAAAGATGCGAAGAAGCGGGAACGTGGGGGGGGGGTAGCCCGAAGGCCTGAGGTAATCGGTAGACTCCCCCTCAAGAGTAAATAAAAGGTTTTTTTTTTTTAAAAAAAAGCTTTTCTGAAGAACAAACTACTAAAAGAGAAAAATAGAGTAAGGAAAAAATTCCTAAGAGCTGTGAGGCGAAAGCTAACAGCGAACCGATCTGACCGATGAAAAAGAGGTCTACTCAACGCGGCGGTAAGAAAGGAACTGGCGGGATGTCCGCGCCCACCCCTCTGGGCACCGATCGATCCAGCGCATGCGCACTAGATCCCATGGGCACAGAGACCACGTCAAAGATTATCTGGTTTAACTGTATACCATTGTAAGGAATAAATACTACAGTCAAGCTACAAACCGGCCCAAGACATTTCACTGAAGTCCTAGATAAGACTGCCCAATTTGCAGACTAAATAATAAAAGAAGGGTTCAACACTGGCACTGCTTAAATTCCTTCCCTCTGATTCATCTGAGCGGAGTCCTCGTAACACCAGCCTTGGTAGTCCTACATTAAGAAGCTTCCCTCTTCCTCTTGCACACCTCCCTCCTTTCCTGCATGTTGCTGGCAAACACTTCCAGGGGTAGTAGACAAACTACATTTGGCCCAGAAGCCCAAAATGCAAGGCACTCAAGGCCGTAGCCAGCGGGGGGCACAGCAGGCGGTGCACGCTATCACAACGCCCCATCCCAATCTAGTTTAACATTAAGTTTAGCTTGCCTAAGTCAAGCCAGCCCAAAGCACAATTTCCTTCCTTCCTCGGCGTGCAGGGATGGCGGAGGAGGAGGCAGGCAGGGCAGAACTGCACGCCAGGGCAGGAGAGGAGCTAACCGTTGGCATGTGACCTGGGTCACATGACGCTAGGACGCACGGAGGGGAGGAAGAACAGGAAGCCAGCAGCTTACAGCAGCTGCTAGGGGCTGCTACTACTCCTTTCCTCTTTAATTTTAATTTGATTTTAATTAGCACCCCCCACCAAAAAAATTCCAGCTGTAGGGCTGAAGGCACTGCCTCTTTGGCCCAACAGTGTAGGAAGGAGTGACCATGACTGGCTTTACCCATTGGGGGGGGGCAGGGTGAGTCCAGAGATGCTTGGATCCTGACTGGTATTTTTGCAGATGCAAAGACTTTGGGGGCATTTCAGGCTGCCATGAAAGGTGAAGCAGGAAAATCATATTTCACCAACAAAGCCCTCACATCTGTAGAAACACGTCAGGGTCCGAGCCAGTACCTATATATAGACATAGGTGATATGAATGGTTTTGTTTAACCACTTGAAAAAAGAAAAGGAAGCAGAAATACCTGAAAAGATGCACAGTGCATAAAGTATTTTAATAGCCAGACACACACACATATCCCAGAACAAAATATGTCAAGCATTTGTTTCCACTAGGGCCGGCCAAGAGAAGTCTTCAAGCTTTCTTCCCAGGAACCCTGAGTTTTGAATCCTTCAGAGTTACACTTAAGAGACTCAAACTCCATTTGTTCTTTCAAAGCAACTCCCTCTTCATATGTCCCATAATTGCTTTAGCCTTGCAAGGGTCTGAGGCTAGAGATGTAAAGACTGGGGCGCGG